CATTGGTTTCAAATGTTCGCCAATGTTGGAGCCAACGTTGGACGCATCGTGTAGCACCGGCTTAACTCTTCCAAATACCAAACCAACGGCATGTATATATTGTCGGTATCTGCACCGGATTTTTCACTCCTTATAACTTTTATCAACTCATGACGATAATTTGATTTCAATATATTGATTTTTTTTAGCTTCAATGCGAATCTGTGAAGGTATTAATTTTACCAGGATTTTTTTTATGTCTGTTGCCACTTTTTCTCAGTTCTCACTGCTATAACTTGCTATAACTTTTCGAAAAATGTATGTATCAGCAAAATTTTTTTTTTCTAAATACATTATAAGTAAATCTTTCATTTGACATACTTTTTATGAAAATTGGATAATTTCCCCATATATAGGGGGCGTTCAAAACTTGAAACATTGTATAAAAAATTGAACTTTTTCAACTTAATTTTTGAAAATGTTTCGGAAATACTGCGTCCTTTAAACATATATGAAATCAAAGGTTATGTCATGTATTATGAAATGAAAAAAAAAATTTTCCCGATGACCTATCTTCTATAGACGATAAGGTATCGCCTATGAGTAAATTGCCACCGAAATAAAACAAAAAATGTAATATTTGCGATAAAAATCACCTTCTATCGAAATGTTTTTCGTACTTCAAACTGCCATAATTTATTGAAATATGAACACAAACAAAAAAATATTTTTTTATATTGAAACTTTAGGTAATTTCCTTTCATTTGATATCCCTTTTTTTTTTAATTTAACACTTATTCTGCTCACAGGGGGTATTTAAAATAGCAACTTTTTTACAAAAACTAACTTTTTCAACTTAACTTTTGAAAATGTTCCAGAAATACTGCGTTCTTTAAACATATGTCAAATTAAAGCTTATGTCATGTACTATAAAATTAAAAAAAAAAATTTGTCCCAACGACCTATCTTCTATGCGCAAATGACTACCGTATTCAAAAATATGATTTTTTTTTTTATTAAAAATCTAGGTTTTGTCTTTTATTTTATTTTAATATATCTTATTAGAGGAATACGCTGATTTTCATGAAAATTATATAATTTAATTGTCATTGAATAAAGTTCATAAGACATAAGAAATTAAACTTACTCAAATTTTGTTGCTTTAATAAAGTCAAAAAGTAACTTGAAAAAAATTTGAATTATCTTAAATTGCTTATTTTATCACCCAACAACAGCGACGAACAATTGCCGAACCGGTAACACTTGTCTCTTACACGCTTGGGGAACGAGGTTCAATTCCGTCTGTGGCAAATTAATATTTTGCATTTTTTTGAATTAGAATAAAATTTTCAAATCATTTGATATTTATCTCATTTAAATTCAATAAATTCAATAAATATAAACGATCCTATCACTATAGTCTCCCCTCGTGAGAAAAAATTTATATTCATGTTAATATTACTTTACTATGTAGTTCTTTTTGTGGCTACGTTTTATTTTGCCAACCCTCACTAGACCTACTTTTTTCAACGATACGCCAAATGATTACAACTCGTATTTAGTTGAAGGTATTACCCTTAAAAATCGAAAAAATATTCGTTATTCAAATAAAAAGTAGCTTAACCAGCTTTTTCTATACTAACAATTAAAATCATTCATTTCTAATATTTTTAAAGTATTTATTGTCGAATTAGATTTGATATGATAAAAGTATTCAACTACAAAAATAAATAATTTTACTTGATAATTTATTAAATGTTTAACTCTATTTGTGTGTGCTACTAACAGTCTATAATATTCCAAATGTTTTTGTAACATGTTGCTATATAAATCTTAAATTTAAAAAAAAATGATTTTTAGTTTCACTTGAATTTAACGATGGATTTTTACAATTATAATCAAATTGTATAATACGCTCAATTGAGTATAACTTTTTAACAACTTTTTTTTTTTATTAAAACTTTCACGTTAAAGGACAAAAAAATAGTAGGTTCAAAATGATTACTTTTAACGTATTAAAAATCAAAACCAATAATAATTTGAAAACAATTAATTTTAAAAATTATATAATATATAATTAAAAGAATTACTAATTTGAGTATAATTAAGGAAATAGAATTTGATATTTCTTTTGTAATTATCCATTATTTTCTTAGAATTAAACACTATCTACAGATTTGCATCGAAGCGTATCTTATGATAGTGATTTTAATCACTGTCAGATATCATTATACTTGATCCAACTATGCAACGTCCTTACTATGCCGCGACCCCACTGGGCTGGGTTTTTTTAGTTACTGACTATATATGTTAACTAGAAAGTTTTTATGATGAATGGCCAATTCTTATATTTTTTTTTTCTCTCTCCCCCTTGTCTCATGAGCTGACAGTTCCTTGGGTGTCGTCAGGGTGGACATGGTGAACATCTCAATGGGCACTCTACATTTATGTAGAGGTTACCCATTGACGTTGGTAACATATCCATTATACCCTGACGCATGCGTTGGATCAGTCATGCTTATGTTTTTTTTTCATTTTTCCTTTATTCTCTTCTGTCATTACCTATGGTTTATTAATTAAATTGACTCTTTAATATTATAATTATGAAAACTGATATACCCTTTATCATAATAAAGGAAATTACTCATAGGAGATGACACGGCCCCGCGTCGCTTCGTCATATGCGATTCCCCGCGACTCGTGCCACCTTTATCAGCCGTCGCCCTACTATGAGTATTTGACTGACCAACACCGCGTGCCATACGCCACGGTGCAAAGTCCAGCAAGTGCCGCACGGCCGACGACGACCCGCCGCAAATGAGACGGGAGTCTTCTTCCCGTTGTGAGAGAGACAACGTTGACCAACCGATCCGCACCCGCGCACCGACACCACCAACGCTGCTAACCTTTTGCCGCCCAATGACCACGCCGGACATCGCGTCGTCGACGCCAGCGAAAGTGCCGCGATATTATGCGAAGATTATTATTACTGTGTTTATCTTTTCGGTTTGTTTTATTTTTTGTTTAAATAACCTGTTGTCGCTCATTTAATAAACGGCCCACGGGTCTCTACCCTCATAATCAGTGTCGACCACATTTTTGCGACTTAAGTCGTGTCAGAGAGAATATCTATGCCGTTGGATGCATGATTGTCTATATACAAGCTTGCGATACATGATTGTGGTAAACCATCTTTATCTTATGTTTATGTGAACATAATATTTAATATAATTAAAAATGATTTGACCGGCTGAAGTAATATTAATTGAATAATTTTCAACTTATATATTTTTATGATTAATGGAGTTATCTTAAACCTCCGACATCTTTTATACATATTCCTCTTGAATCTTTGACTATTGTTTCATCACTACTTTTATTTTATTTTTTTGTTCTCTGTATTTTCCCTTTTATTTGGGACCTACATTTTTAATTAATTAATTTGTTTATGTACAATTTTCTTTTAAATACTTTTGTAATGTTATGATAAAAAAAATTAATTTGTTTGTAATATTTAATAAATTTTAATAATTGTACTCAATCAAAACTTACTTATAACCTTTCCCCTTAGTGTAAGGTACCAAAATACCTGGTGCTCCGGTTTTGCCTAGGCCTAGAATGGACCCATTTCGGGATCCTTGTAAATTTAGCCTACAAACTACTAGGTTAAATAATAAAGGTATTATTTAACCTCATCCACATTATTTTGTCGAAATATGATAATTCTAAGCTCCGCCCAAGACCAAGGACCCTATGGATAGATCACAGATTCTGGTAGATATAACTAGAGCTACGCCAGTCACGATTAGTTTTTCACAAAAAAATTATTGCTTCACAATCATTATAACGAAAATATAGTTAACATTTAATTATTAAAATGAGTACAATTTAAAATAGATCAATAGTAAAATGTAATAAGTATACAGATGACATTTGTTTTCCAGTTCATTGCAATTATATAATAATAATTCAATTATAACGTTATCTTTTGTAATAATAGTATAAATAAAATTGTGTTATGAAGTTGAAGGCTATTTTGTGTATCTATAATATAGAATTTTATATTTATGTCAAACTCCAATACACTAATTATACTCTAAATATTGAAAACATATATATTATAGTATTATCACACCAAAAATTACAGACAATTAGAAAAACATGTCCAGTAATATAATATCATAATTCTTTGTTATCCTATTATACGACTATAAAAAAATGAAATTAAGTTGTGTATTCAAAAATATACTTTATAATAACCATAAATTATTATTTAACACAACAGGTATGGAAACACATAACTTTACAATTATTAAGATACAAATTGTCAATTATCAATGAATTTAAACAAAATTTTCAGGGTGCTTTTAGAATGACTGTTCAAAAGTTACGTGTGTAGTCTGGTTAAGCTCCACGTAGCCTATAATCACCCAATCCCCCCTCTCATAGATTGTCTTATTACAGTCATAGCAGTCGTGTCCGGCACTATGGGCACCTAGTCATTACGACGTGTATGTGTTTGTGTCTTTGTGCAAGTCTGGTTAAAAGTTTTAAATCGAACAACGCTGCCTGCAATGAACGTTAGTAAAAAAATTTTTAAACGTTCATGGAATGTTGAAAAAAATTATATCATCGTCACCTAGCTTTATCATTTAAAAACACAATTTAAGAGTTGGAAATCATTTAGTAATTTTCAAGCATTGTCAAAATTTTTAATATTTTATTTTTTAATAAGATTATAATAAAATTTTACTATAAAATTCTTAAAATCACTTTATAATTAAATTTAACAAGATTTAGTGTCGGTTGAATGCTATTAAAACATGTATTTGAAGTACATATAATAATCATAATTAAATAGAAGCTATGAGTCAAAACAAATAAATAACATATTTTTCCCGGAATAAAAATGGATTTACTTATTTTAAAGTAATTACACATTTTATATTTCATTAAACTATATTACACTCTATAATTTAAAAACTTAAATAGGACATAGCCTATTGAAATCCAACACCAAAAAATTCATAAAATGGTATCTATTCTGCATAAATTCATGATATAAATTTTATGTAATAATTTAATAATTTTTTTTCAGAATTCACTTACTTTATGTATGATTGTATTAGTATTAGCTGTTGATTTCACCTTAGCAACGTCTAGTAATAAAAATATTTAATCTTATTGTTTTATAGTCATAGAATTTGAATTTACACCCATAAATTTATTAGAATTAATAAAATAAAATAAATTATATCTACAGTATAGATCACTATTTTAAGCGATAGAAAAAGTATATATAAAGGGTGATTTTTTTATCATAACCCACTCAACTACTTGCAGAATAATAATAATTTAAACATTTTTTTTTTTATTATCTCTAGTTACACATTATTCTTGAATTTTTAACTATGTAATACTTTTTAAGTTCATCCCTTATGCCTTGGAAGGGGGTCAACTTTGTTTTTTTAAATGGTAACACATATTTTTAATTTAATAAAATGTTTGAGTTTTTAATTTAATAGTAAATGGCATTTGAATTTTTAATATAACTTAATTCGTTTATTAGATATAATCATTTAAAGTTTCAAATTTTTGAATTAATATACAGGTATAATACACAAGGGATTACAAATACAGGTAGCTAATTGGTTTTTTATAACATCGATATTAGCAGGTACACAGCATTGTTATTATCAATGATAGTAAGGCACATTGTTATGAGTTTATAAATACACTAACTGACAATACAGAAAGTATATCTATTGATAATCATAATTGATAATAAACAATCCGTGACTGAGACAGCAATGTCATAAAAATCCAATTAACTACCTGTATTTACAATCCCATGTGTATTATACATGTATATTAACTCAAAATTTTGAAACTTTAAATGTTTATATCTAATAAGCTAATAAAGTTATATTAAAAATTCAAATGCCATTTACCATTAAATTAAAAACTCAAACATTTTATTAAATTAAAAATATGTGTTACCATTTAAAAAAACAAAGTTGACCCCCTTCCAAGGCATAAGGGATGAACTTAAAAAGTATTACATAGTTAAAAATTCAAGAATAATGTGTAACTAAAGATAATAAAACAAAAAAAGGTTTAAATTATTATTATTCTGCGAGTAATTGAGTGGGTTATGATAAAAAAATCACCCTGTATACAAAAAAAAAAAAAAAAAAGAAATCACGGCAAAATAAAATCTATTGCTTTTCGGCTTCGCATCGAAACTAATAAATTATAAATACACTTTTCTTTTTGGTCATTACTATAAATTATTAATAATTTCTGAAACTTTGAAAGGTACTATAGAATTAGTTATTTTCACAATCCAAGAGTGTAAAACATATATTTGTAATATGAACAAACATTTAAAGTAAATTTGTAACAAATAAATGGATAACTAGCAAATTAAAATTAATTTAATTTTAATAAATCTTCTAATTCCAAGCAATTTTTATCCTGTACTTTTATTCTATAATTTTCTTATGCATAAATGAGTTAAAAAAAAAAATCGTTTTTTCTATATTGAAAATGTAACTCTACTTAAATGATTAACTGATTAAATTTAATTGTTTTCAGATATTAACAATGATACAATGGGTACAATTTTCTTATAATTTTAATTAAATTATTCTAATTAATTACATGATATGAATTTTTTTACCAAACTGGGAGAATATGCTCTTATATTCATGTCTTTAATTAAATTTTAAATGTATTTTGAACAAATTTGAATTCATATAAACCGGATAGAATATGAATTTGATTTTGATAAAAATGTATTTAGTATTAAATTGATAATTAACTGATAATTGTTGTTATTATGGTCCTTAGTTAATTGATTCTAATTAAAAATGATTAGACGATTACTTAATTATACTATTTAATATTTTATAACTTTTAATATTTATTTAAAAGAAAAATGATTAAATCAAGTTTCATTTGTTTAGTGTAATTTCAATTTAGATTTATATTTTCTTTTGATTATAGGAGAAAATATATTAAGTAAGTATAATCTAAAGAAATATTTTTCATAAAAATACATATATTTTATAAGTATTATCTTATTTAAGTTGATATTTTATAGGTTGTATTTCTTGTAATAGAATAAACAATTTACAGCAAGCTTACAAACCGTGTCTTCACATATATTGTCAAACATGTAAACCTTTGTTTTGTGTTATATGTGATAAATATATCCCATATGGTAATATTATTGATATTAAATATGAGATCTAAATGCACCAATAACATTTATAATTTATTCTGTAAATTTAAATAGAACAATATTCTCTATTACTTTTTTAATAGCTTTAAGAATAAGACACTTGGTCTATCGCATATGTATTCAATGTAGTTTATTATGTTTCTTATGTGATATTACAACAATAAGTATCGCCATTATAATCCTCGGAGGAGGATTCATTCTTTCTAACGTTATCCTCTCTAATATATTTAATTTATCGTGTAATTGTTCAGATAAAATGTACTCTTCCTTTATTTATTTTCAAAAACCTTATTACCATTAATAGAATTTCTATAGATTTCTTGAATCTTCGACTAACATTAAAAATAATGTAGTGAATCAACAATAGACTTTNTCTTGAATCTTCGACTAACATTAAAAATAATGTAGTGAATCAACAATAGACTTTTGATGACTGAATGTAGAGTGAGCTCGATTTTCACATCCTATTCGTAGTGGTAATATTAATTATATTTGATTTATCAAACATACAATCTAATAAACTATACTATAAAATCACAAGCTACACATGTGACTTATAGATTCAATGACATACATAATGTTTAATTCATGTTTATATTTTGTTTTGATATAGTATACAATTTATGTAAGTAAAAATTAAATAATAATCTCTTATAAAAATGTATAAAATTAATCAGTATTGTCACACTTAAATAACTAAAACACTAGGTTAAAAATTATTTTTCAAAAATTAAAAATGTTAAAATTTAATAAACTTTTCAAATTTAAAAACATTTTTATTATACTATAAATAATAATAAATTTACTATTTAAAGTCTGTTCAAAGTGTCAAAAAACATCCAATCTAGTCAAGAAGTCCGATAAAATATACTGCAAGAAGTGTAAGAAATTAGGTAATATACATTATATATAGTGTTCATTAAGTAAGGAAGCGGGTTTCTATTTTTCTCATTGTTCGTAAATATAAACCGATTTCCTTACTGAACAGCCTGTATATTTTAAAATTTAATTACTTAGAATAAAATATAATAGATTTAAACTTGCATTCATATTAATATTGTAGGTATATAATACATAAATATATTATATACCTATATTATAGGGGTAATCAATGTTATCAACCCTGATAAAACGATTAGTGAACATTTTCGTTAATAGTTCATAATAATATTAGTACCACATTATAGGAATGTCTAAATATTGGAATGAAACGTCATGTTGGAAAATATCCATATAAAAATTAAATTAAACATGAAGTTCTATTTTGATAAACCCATTTAAATTAATATCGAAAATATCGCAATACTTTAAAACAATATCGATATAAAATTTTACTAAAAAAATAATAAAATTATATCAATATTCTATAGTCAATCTCAACTGTATTATATTATAATAACATGCAAACATATTTATTAAATAACGAATCATTTTCGATGATTCGTCTAATAAATCATAAAATTGATAATCAGGGTTCAAACAAAAGTATTTATAAAGTTTTTTTTAGTCATTAAGGTTAAATTATTGATAAATAGATATACGTGCATATTTTTCTTAAATAATTATTATTAATAAAGAATTTAGCTAAGGAGGATCACTCAACTAATAAAAAATATTTCTTTGATACAGTATAACCTGTAGTAAATTTGTATTAAATTAAATATCTTGTGAGAGACTTCAAAAAAAATAAAAAAATTTCTTAAATCCCTAGTCTTGTTAATAACGCAAACATTATTCAATAATTATTATTATTAAGTATAATTAGAAACTAATTAGCACCTGTATTTATAAACCCTTGTGTATTGTACGTGTATATTAATTCAAAAATTAAAAAAAAAAAAATTTTTAAATTATATTTATTCTGTAAGTTATTGAGTGGGTTATGATAAAAAAATCAGCCTGTATATATATATATATATATTATTTTTTTTTTTTCAATAAATAAAAAAAAATAGCTAAAATTAATTTTAGAACGTATAATAAATGTATAAATAATTATATGTGTAAACCTAGATAATGTCCTATCAGAGATCGAAGCTTCGTCGTCCAGACAAAATATTGTAGTGAATCTAAAAAAGAAAATATAATAATTTATTGTAGTAATAAAGGGGGGTATTATTACTTGTATTAATTTAGAGAGTACTTTGATAGTTACTTAGAAGAAATAAATTAAATAGAATATGAAGGGATTTGGATTCTTATTTGATCCACTACTTTATTGTATTAATAATATTATTACTCGGGGTATGAGTACGAGGGTCTGTAAGAAAGATAGAAGATGATAGAAAAATAAAGTGATCTTTATTTTATTAACATGAGATTCATTATAATTAATTATCAATTTTTTAAATATCAATAATGCCACGAGTTTTGAGAGTTATCAATGATAGGTGGGATTGAGTCACCTCGTGTGTCTACTCAGAGTGGTATGGTGGCTATACATATGAACCTCCAACCTAATTCCTAAAATAGACACGTATCAACGATATAACTCTGCCAACTAACTCTGTACAAACATTATAGATTTTTAACGCATAAAACATCACATACCACTTTCCTGCACATCTCAGACATCAATATCTCTTTTTATGGTGATAAGCCTTAAATATTAATTGACACCAACGTCAAACTTGGCCATGAAAAGGGTCGTTTTACCACTTGACCGTGGATGATAGAATTGGTCAGCGAATTTTGCATTGTATAAGTATTCCGTTGGAATCTTGATATATGCTGCATTCCCTGTTTCCAGGGGCACCGCTTGAAGGTTTCTACCCCACCCACATAAGTCATATCGAACATATATGTCTATTTAAGATGATTAATAAATGTTTATTAAATTAATTTAACAAAAATGAAATTTCTACTAATTAACGAAAACAGTTTAAGACAGTATGAATTTTTATTTTCATTCTAGATGATGTCCCCAATAAATTTATAAATTACAATCAAGATAATGAAGGCGACAGCACAAATAAAATAAAAGTCACACTTGATAGTAACGGAAAACCATTGTAGGCAAAGATTTTAAAATTATTTCTATCTTTACGTTCTAATATTAAAATTTTTTTACAGTTACGATTTTTTGGAAGTAAACGATGATTAGTCATAGAAATATTTGAAAACAAAATATATGAGTACAATATTTGAAAACCTTAACATCTAACTAAAAGTTTGATACAATTCATGCGTTAAATTACATAATTTCATATTATAAATATAAATATAATATTAAATATAAATTTCATTTGAATTTTTAATAATTACCAGTGTTGAGCATAAGTAACAAAATAAATTCTAGTTACGATACAAGTAACTCACAGTCGGTCACAGACTGCGGCTGTGTTCATTGACATCAGTTGTACTTATTTTAATAAATTATTGATAAAGGTCTAGATCAGCGATACTCAACATGCGGCCCGCGGTCTGCATGCGACCCACCAATGGTTTTTATGTGGCCCAAACAGAACTCATTGAATGATAAAAAAATATACATTCAAAACTAATATTATAAGATATACAATAGGTATTACCAAAAAATTAATTTGTGTCGTACGCGGTTGTGATAAGTATGATTATTTTTCGGAATTTTTACTATTAATAACGTTTTTGATGTATTTTATCTTATCTCTAAACTGGTCTTGGCTAGTATATAAATACGCATTATGATTATAGAAGCAGTCACATTGTAGTTGTGTATTGGCGTATGTGTCGTATTTATTTTATTTGAATCATTAATTATATATATATATTTGTTGTGACATTATGGTAGGCGTATCTTTGAAAAACAAACGAAAAATATCTGAAGAAAATAGAATTTTTCAAACAGTTGGGAAGAAGAATATTTTGTTGTACTAAATAAAAAGGATTCAGCTACTTGTTTAATCTGTCGAGAAAGTATTATATTTAAAAAATATAATATTATTCGTCACTATAATAAAAAACACGAATCATTTAATAGTACTTATAATCCCGGATCTTTGATAAGACATGAAAAATTAACTTTTTTCAAGAAGTCCTTGCAACAACAGCAAAGTGTTATGTCAGAGGTGGTATCATAAGATGCAGCTGTCACAACTGCATCATACGAAATTTGTTACATACTCAGTAAGCATTTAAAACCATTCCCTGACGCTGAAATAGTGAAAGAATGTTTTATAAATGCTTCCTCCTTATATTTGATAGATTTAGCAATAAAAATCAAATAATATCAGAAATTAAAAAAATGCACAGCTTTCTGATTCTACTTGCATTAGGCGCTTAAACATATTTCTAAACATATTTATATCCGTATTATTGAAGACTTAAAAAATTGTAAATTTTTTAGTTTAGCATTTGATTCTAGCACTGATATTTCAGCCACATCACAATGTTCTATTTTTATTAGATATTGTACTGAACAAAATTCTATTAATTATAAGTTAATATAAGTTGTTAAATGTAATTTGAATTTTTAATGATTACCAGTGTTGAGCATAGGTTAACAAAATAAAATCTATTTAAGATAAATGTAACTCGCAGTCGATCTCAGACTGCGATGANTATAAGTTAATATAAGTTGTTAAATGTAATTTGAATTTTTAATGATTACCAGTGTTGAGCATAGGTTAACAAAATAAAATCTATCTAAGATAAATGTAACTCGCAGTCGATCTCAGACTGCGATGATGTTCATTGACATCAGTATATAATGTGTAGTATATTACATAGTAATTTGTTTTAGTTTCAACAATTACAGTTGAATACAGTTGTAAGAAAAATATATATGTAGTGTATATTGTTCTTGCTTATTTATAAATAGATAAAAATAAGTTTGGGAATGTTATTTATGCCTTTTTAACACATTGATGAACAAAATCATATGTTANTACATAGTAATTTGTTTTAGTTTCAACAATTACAGTTGAATACAGTTGTAAGAAAAATATATATGTAGTGTATATTGTTCTTGACGTCTGGGGTCACTTTTAAATATTACTGCTATAACAGTGGTATAAAAACTATTCTAAAAAGGTCATTACTGATATAGCAGTAATATTTTCAATGATTCTTATGAAGGAGGAAGTTGTTCTGACCTCATGCATCTCATAAACCAGTGTTTGTAAAATACCATGTAATTAACTGTCCATCAACGTGTTAATTACGTTGTCCACCAATGTAATATTCATAACTTAAATAAAATTTAAATAAAGGTACATTTTGCGAAAAGCTATCCAGTACATACAGACTTACAAAGATATTCTGAATTAGTATGTCTAATCATAAAAAGATATCTCATGGCAACGTTTACATTTGTCTGACGATGCAATATTCCTTAAAACAAGTGTATAGCTATGACTAAATAACAAATATAATTTGTATATAATGTGTATCAGATAGCCTTTAGCTGCCACAGAGTTCACATGTCTCGTGTTTCGCTACCGTTATTTTTATGCTATAACTTAATGTTAAATTTATCATTTTATACAAATCAGTTTTGTTTAAAATATTTAAATCAACGAATTCAAGATATAAGAAAAATATTAACATCATAGTGATCCTTCGGGATTTAGGTAAGAGTTTAATATTTCACTACTTGCCTCAAAAAGAGTAATAGTAATCGTAGTCCGCCAACGACGCCGTTGTCTAGAATTAGTAACGTTCCGATAACTCCGATATCTATTGTAAATCGTTCTCAAATAATCAGCAATACAAAAGACAAACAAAAAACTACTACTGCCGAGTCCAATGACGACTGGATAACCGTTTTATCATCTAATAAAAGACCACATACACATTCACCCGGATCCTCTCCAATAGCAAAACACAGTGGTACTTTCAATAATAATATCAAAGTACTAAACCGGTTCACACCTCTTCAAACAAGTTAAGATAACATAGAAACAGTACCAACAAATCAACTCACCCCGCACAAACCACCGCTTATAATCATAAAATCTGATTTAAACTACGTTAACTATTTCGAGGCTATTAAAAAAATTATTGATATCGATGAGTTTACTTGTAAAAGTAACGCTTCATGTTTAAAACTTCAAATAAAAACCCCTGACTCATTTAGAAAAATTGTACGAGTACTTTTACAAAAAAATATTGATTTCCATACATATCAAGTCAAACAAGACAAACCATTTCGCGTTGTACAAAAAATTTGCACTATTCCATAGACCCCAAAATTATTCAGAATGAATTAACTGAACTTGGTTTTAAAGTTAAACAAGTCGTTAATGCCCTGCAAAGATTCACCAAAAAACCACTTTCTATGTTTTTTGTCGACCTTGAACCTGACACAAACAATAATGAAGTATTTAAAATTGATACTATTTATCATTCAAAAATAAAATTTGAAGAACTTATACCTAGTAATAATCCAGTACAATGCCTCCGATGCCAAAATTTTGGATACACCAAAAAATATTATAACCACGAACCCCGCTGTGTCAAATGTGACGAATCAAATTTGTCAAATATTTGTCAAAAAACTAAAAACCAACCGCCCAAATGTGTATTATGTGGAGGAGCTCATCTAGTGAATTACAGAGGTTGCCCCGTGTATAAAAATGAACAACAACGGAAAACGCCCAATCCAAAATCTCAAAATAGCAATCAACCTTTTGGTCATAAGAATTTATACAATGTACAGGTCCCCACTAGTAACACCCAATTAGAAAACACTAATGTGTATGAACCAAACACACACAAATTGTAAACAAAAGTATCTCAACAGACCAACTATTCAAACAAGTAAAATATAGAAACAACTAATACAAATAACAATGAACTTTCCTCATTCTGAAATGACTTAAAATCCTTAATTAATCTTTTGATATCCTTACTAACCACTGTAATTAATAAAATTATTTTAAAAAATGACTAAAATGCCTACATAAAAAAAAACTATCATCAAAATACTACTTTGGAACGCAATAGTCTATATCAACACAAAAATGAATTTCAAACTGTACTTAACCATAACAAAATAGACATAGCACTGATAAGTGAAACTCATTTTACTGACAATAATTACTTTAACATTTACTACTACACTATGTATAAAACTAACCACCCTGACGGCACTGCTCATGCTGGGGCCGCCATTTACATTTCAAAAAAACATACAACACGATGAAATAAGTCCGTACCAAGAATTATATATACAAGCTTCAAGTGTGTCTATAAAAATCAATAGCATACCAATCACTATATCAGCGTTATATTGCCCTCCAAATTATAATAGTATACGTCAAGATGGCTTCCAGCAGTTTTTCAACTCCCTAAGTAACTCATTTATAACGGGAGGGGACTTCAACACCCAACATCCAAGGTTGGGCAGTTTTGGTAATAATCAAAGAGGAAGACATTTGCTTACAGTTATCAACAATAAACATTATTCAACTATTTCACCAACAGGACCAACTTACTGGCCTACCCACGTAAACCGAAACCGTGATATACTCGAATTTTTTGTAACAAATTATCCAAACCAGCTAAGTACAAGCATAGAAAATATTTGTGGCATCACCAGCGACCACTCACCTGTTATATTCACTATTGGTGGCGAAGTTTCTTATAATACAAAACCATCATTCAAAAAAGGACCCATTAGCTGGAATAAATTCAAAATCAATTTGGATAAAAATAATAACTTGAAAATTCCACTTAAAACCCATGAAGATATCGAAAACGCGGCTCAAAACTTTGTCTCACTAATTAAGAACTCAGCAAACAGTTCATCCTCATTAACCCTTATGTGACTGGAAAGGTACCCGGGTACCTTTTCAGTTTTTAAATTTATTTTTCTTCTAAATATTTAGTATGTATGGTTAGTCCTTCTGTGACATCTCTAAATAGCATGTATAGTTAACAAATTTATATTTTGTATTTGAAAAGTATATAATTTATTGTACTTAAAATAGCGTTGTTAATTTTACACCTTATAAGGACGTAGTAGGTACCTGGGTACCTCTATATATTGTATTTAAATGTAGGTTTTATTGATACAAAAAAAAGTTAAATTACCATTGATAAATATTTTTACTGGACATCATTAAAATAGATACAAATATTAAGAGAACAAAAATGTTATTTTTGCATATTTAGTAAGTATTATGACATATTTAGGTTTTTTGTTAATTGCAAGTTTCGCAAAATGATTTGTTTATTGAGTGTTCATTGCAAATAGGCTTTGAGCAAGTTGAACAAGCTTTTCGAGTTTTCCGTTGCTTATAACCCAATTCTCGACATACTAAGCAACTTCCAACTATTTGAATACGTCCTGAAGCATCACGAGGTGGTTCATTTTTAGGAATAGCAATTATCTGTTGTATTGGCCGTCCGAGAACCATTTCCATTGAATTACGAGTATATCGATTTCCTACTACTTTAGGT